TGAGAAACCTGGCCTCCGTCGGTGAGAATGCCATCGCCATCGTGTGTGTGCGTGCGCGCGCGCGCGCGCGTGTGTGTGTGTGTGTGTGTGTGTGTGTGAATACCTTTACTGAGCAAAACTATTTCCATCAAGGTGGCTTCCGTATTTAAGCAAAGAACAGAGAACATTGTGTAGTCAAACAGGCAAGGTGCCCTAGTCTGTGTGGCTCCTAGATCCTGGCTTTGCTCGTGCACTGTTTAAACTATCATTCTTAGCTTCAGGGATCACGTCAAGATACTTAGAGAGATTGGTTTGCATTCCCGTGGAGTGTTACTGTGTTGACTACAAATTTCACTCTTTGTTTACCGCAGCAAGCTTAGCTCCAGTCTTCAGCACCCCTAAGTGGAACCCACTAGCTCAGTATCAGGGACGGAGCTGTTCCTTCCTCTGTCGTGTCTTTACTCATGGGCTGCACTTGCCTGTGAGCTCCGTGTCAGCTCTGCACATTTGTGTTCCCAGAGCAGCGAGGAAGGATCTCAGGACCATGGGGGTGGGGCTCACCCAGGCCCACAGTCCTGTGAGGCACCTGGGAGCCAAGTGGGTTGTGAAAGGACCTTCGTGCCTGGAGGAATTTGCGGGGGAGTCCGCATGAGTTTCTTAGGGCTTTACAGATACCCAAGCTTCCGTCTGTGATTTTGACCAGGCACACATATCTACACACCTGTGGTCTTTCAGTGTCACATGCGTGTCATGCTCATTGCTTGTCTATTTAGCTCTCCTAATGCACCCTCCACCTGAAGGAAGTATTTCCTTTCATAGATTGCTGGGTAGACTAGAGAAACAAATCCATAGAAACTCATGTGTGTATAAGACAGAGTTTTATATATAAAGGGTAATTGTACATTAAGAAAGCATCTCAACCCAGTCCAGTCCGAACCCATAAATCCAGTATTAGCCCATATGTATACTAATCAGTACTAATCAATAAAGTCCTCTTAAGACTCATGCAACACATGCAATGATGCCGAATGCAGAATTATCACAGGCCAGAGGGTAGAAAGTCTTTGGATCCAGTGGCGTTGTAAGCATCTCAGCCCTGGTAGGAGCCTCTACATGGCTTCTCCAGCTTCAGAGGTCTATTTGCATCAGGGTAGGTCCTTGTGTCTTCTCCAGCTCACGACACTAGCGTAGTTCCATGTGTCTTGTCAGCTGCAGTGTCTCCCAGGGAATGAGCAGAGAGAGAGGTGTCTCCCGCCTCCCAGGAGGAAATACCAGATTTCCCAGAATCCTCCTGGGAAGGCCACGCCCACAGAGTCCTCATTGGTTATATCTTGATTGACAGGCCAGACTTCACCCCTTCACTCATTCGTGATCCTCTCAAATTGACACCAGATGATATAAATACCACACGTGTGTAAACATCCAAAGCTGGCTAAGTGTATCTATCCATGGCAGGCCATTGCCTCTCATTATTGCTTTTCTTTTTGTCTCGTACTTTGAACCTCTCGGGTCAGTCTCTCTAAACCTTCATGATGGAGAAGCGTTACCCAGTGAGTACATACTGCTGCCCTTGCTGAAGAGCGGCGCCTGGCCCTCCGTTGTCGCGGAAAGCTCTAAATCTCAAGTCAGCGAAGACCAGCACGAAGCCCAGGGCATACATGGGAGGTGAGTGTCCCCCGAGAAGCAAACTGGGCCTCAGCAGAATGTCTTAAAGTGTCCTGTCGTTGAAAGGCGCACACGCGTGGATTCACATACATACTTCAGATCCCGGAATCTGTCTGTAACGGTGCAGGCATTGTTCCTGTAAAGAAGGACGGCAGAGACATGACGTAGCAGCCACATGTTTCCCTTCAGAGTTCGAGCCCGGCAGAAAGAGCAGTGCGCCCCTCGAGTTGTCAGTCCTCTGCTGTGGAGTGCCAGCCCCCACAATCGAACGGGTCCAAGGGGTGTTTGTGTAATTGAGGAGTAAAATAAAAAGACATCAGACAAGGCATACAATTGCTCACCTCCTAGACGGCCAAGCTCTCAGCAGCCAGGTCCACACACACAGAGAGAGAATGTATTTCCAGTCGTGGCTTGTAGACACACACGGGACGTGCAAGGCCCCCTAATTACATTATAACAAGAAGAGGTTGTGCCATCGGCATACATGCAATAGGAGGGGGACAAGCTAGGGGTGTACACGCAATAGGAAGGGTTGGGTGGGCTCTAAAGTCAAGATGGCAGCCACGTTAGTCCTCCTTGAGTTGGCTTGACCTTGCCTCTGGGCTCTCCAGGGGAATAACCCACTATCCTTATCAGCAGGGAGTGGGCCCCACTAGGGCGGGACAGTCAATAGGGTCTGCTTGCTCCAGATGGCTGATGACCCTCAGGAGATAACCTCTAAGCAGCTGGCCTCCAGTGGATAGCCGTTGACCATGTGTTAGCAAGCAGCATCTTGGGTTTGGCGTATCATACGGGGACAACCTAGGGAAAACCCTTTCTGTACCCCACAACCTGCACCTCTTTTAATGCGTGTCAGCCTCCACACTGCTGCCAGGAATCGAATTGCTTCACGGAACCTGAACATTTGAGCAGCCACATGCGTACGGTGGCTCTGTTTATGCTGGGAATGGTTGAGTGTAGTATTAAATTTAAAACTTGGCGCTTATGGAGGGAGGTAGGGGGCCAGCCCCCACCGCTAATACTCCTATTACTACTACTCGGATTCAGTAATACTACTTCTGGGTTTAGTAATGCACAATTGTACGGTTGAGATATGTAAGCATTACATTAAAGTCATCGAGAGCATGAGCGATAATACAATAATACAGTCAGGCATGTTACATAGTACCATTGCTCACCTCAGCCCAGCTTGGTGGTCCACGTGGAGAGAGGGGGAAGGGAAGGAGGGGAAGGGAACAAGGGAGAGGGGAGTGACCAGGGAGTGAGCAGCAAGGAGCTCAGAGTCAGAGAGAGCTCTATATTGCTGACTCACACCTATATACCTTTTGGGGGCAAGCCAGTCCACTAATTACAGGTAGAGACATACGTCACAGGGAGGGGCTGCACTATAGGTTACACAGCAATGAGAGGGTGGTCTAGGGGTTGGTCTCTGGGTCTCCATAGGACCATTATCAGTGGGGTGAAAACTCCTCCTACAGGAGTCTGTCCATTGTCCCCAGAGGCAGGGAGCAGGCCCACCCCTGTGGAGGGATGAGACAGCAGTCTGGCAACTGATTGCCTTCAGTGGGGGGAATGCCTGCGCATCTGACCTCACCCCACAGTTGAGCTGTTGTGAATTTATTCAAAGACTGGATATTTGCTAACGTGTCCACATACATGTGTATGGTTTTGCTTATAAACCCAGCCTTATCATGATGTGTTCATAGCATTTATGTGCTATAGTCTTTTCATGGTGAGTCAGCTATCAGGTATGTGAACTATATTACATGTAGACATCATTATCAGAAAGTCTTCAGTTTCAGGTAAACAGTAATGATCCTAAATGATTTATTCACGTGAAACACGAGACAATTTAGCATCCAAATCATGCAAGTTCACTGTTGGGAATATACTTATTTCTTACTTCTCTTTTTTTCTTCTCTTTTTTGGAAATATGCTTATTTTTAACAGAAATGACTGTGCAGAGGAGCCCCGTGAAAGGAATCAGGGCGGGGAAACCTCTATCCAGATTCCAAATCTGACGCTGTTTCAAAGCCGTCTTCCCAAAGGACATGCATTCCGGTGCTGCGAGCATGGGGAAACCTTCATGGGCCACTCCTCATGGGATCGTCACATCAGGTCTCACACAGGATGCAATGCCTATACCTGGGGTCAGTGTCCTGAAGCCTACAGTTGTCACGTTACCGTCACTGCCCCGCCGAGAACGATTAAAAGTGAAATAGCCCACGATGAACAGGCATGGGGGAAAGGTTTCACTAGTTCGTCCACGCTGACAAATCTAGTGAGAACGAGCAGCAGCGGGGTGTGTGACGAGCGCCACAATTGTGGCGAAGATTCCTGTGGTGACCCCTCCTTGTGGACACCTGTGAGAAGTGATGCGTGTGACGGCAAAGAAAGTCCTAAGTCCCATCGCCGTCCTTCATCCCCAGGCTTACGTGAAGCGCTTCACGGGTTTGATGGGTCTTCCTCATCGAAGGAATGTGAGAAAGCGTTCCGCGCTTCCTCGCCCTTCGCTCAGCAAATGCTAGTTCACAAAGAAGAGCGGGATTATGAACGTCAGGAATACGATCAAACCTATGCTCCGTGTCCAAAACTTACCGTCCACCCACTTGATGAAGAGAAGCCTTGTGGTTATAAGGAATTTGGGGCAACTTTTGGCTCTTCCTCCAACCTCGCTCAACACATGCAAACTCACGGCAGAGAGAGGCGGTACAACTGCAAGGAATGTGGGAAAACTTTCGGTCGATCCTATTGCCTCTCTGAACACATACGGACTCACACTGGAGAGAGGCCTTACGAATGTAAGGAATGTGGGAAAGCCTTTACCACGTCCTCAAACCTCATTATACACAGAAGGATTCACAGTGGGGAGCGGCCTTACGAATGTAAAGTCTGTGGGAAAGCCTTCCGACGCTCCTCACACCTCACTACACACCTAAGGACGCACAGTGGAGAGAAGCCTTATGAGTGTAAGCAGTGTGGGAAGACCTTTGGTTGTTCCTATTACCTCTCGGAGCACGTCCGCACTCACAGTGGAGAGAGGCCGTATCAGTGTAAGGAGTGTGGGAAAGCCTTCCGACGGTCCTCACACCTCACGAATCACCTTAGAACGCACAGCGGAGAGAAGCCATATGAGTGTAAGCAGTGTGGGAAGACCTTTAGTCAGGCGGCAGGCATCGCGATACACCGGAGAACTCACCTCGGAGAGAAACCGTATGCGTGTAAGAAATGTGGTACGGACTTCCGTGTGCTCTCCGCGCTCACGACACACATGCAGATTCACAGTGGATAGAGCCTGACGAATGTGGGAAAGCCTTCCGTCCTTCTCAGCCCTTGCTCATCATGTGTGAACTCACGGTGCAGGAAAGTTGTCTAAGCGCACGGAACGTGGGAAGGTCCTTTGGATTCCTCATGCTTCGCTCAACAACATACAAGCACTCACGTCCGGAGTGAGACCTGGTGAGTTGTGAGGGGTTTGGGGACATCCTTAGGCAAGACAGTAACCTTGCCACACACTGAAAAAGCCTCTACGTGGGCACCTTACGGATGCAAGAAACGTGGGAACATCTTAAGGCACGCCAGTAACCTCATTGCCCATAAAAGCAGCCACAGCAAAGAGGCCCTAGGAATCTAGGTGGCGTGGGTAAGAATTTGCTTATTCACTGCTTCTGGCTTACTGGAATTCACCATGGGAAAGATTATTGTAGGTAAAGAGTGGGGGCTTTCATCCTTCCTGCTATAAATATAAATAGCAAATTTCCTGAAAGTGCATGAGGGAAGAACGAAGCTTCCCGGTGAGTAAGAACGAAGGCTGCAGAAGGGGGGATAATCCCTCGCTCGTGCCTGCAGCAATGTCAAGGTGGGTCTTGTCTGACCACCTCTGGCTTCAGTAGGCAGAAGGAGAGTCCAACACCGAATCAGCCCAAGGCCAAGTGCAATAACATGGGGCAGTTAGGCCTCCACCCTCCATCTTTTTTTTTTTTTACCCTGTTCTGACAGGAGCCTTTCTCCCCACGGTGCCCTCCTGCCCTGCTGGGTTCTGTGATCCATAGCAGTGACCACACACACAGAATTCTCAACCAGGAGGGGAAGTTGACTGATGGTCACACATCAGGATGAGCAGACTGTGGAGGATACAGTTTTCGATCCATAGCGGGACCTCTTAGCCACTCGTCGAGCCTGTCTCTGGTTCTCGTACTGTCAGTAACCCCTTCCCTTGGCCTCTTCGTCCTTGGGCCATGAAGCCCAGCTGCTGCTCTGCCTCCCTGCTACCTCTTCTCAGCAGTGGGACTCCTCTGCTCAGGTCCCCCAGACATGGCCATGACTTCTGCTGCCTTCGCCACGTAGGGCAGGGCTCTTGAAGTGCTTCCTTGGCGGCTGTTCCTCCTTCATGGGCCCAGTAATTCTCTCTGTTCCTGCTGGTTCTCCTATTTCCATGTGGGGGATCTGACCAATCTCCGACTTATAGCCCTCTATACTTTATGTTGACGGCACCACCCAACCATTGGGTGGGTGTTAATGAGACGTGGCTAAACCAAAAATCCAGACACTGCCATCCAGTGGGTGCTGACTCACAGCGACCCTGTTGGGGAGGGTAAAACTGCTCCTCTGGGTTTCTGAGGCTGTAACTCTTCTGGGGTGGGGGTGCGGGGGTAGAAAGCCCCACCTTTCTCCCGATAAATGAGTAGAAGAGCCATATTGTAGGAATCTCTCCTCACCCACCACAGTCCATGTGTTGAACTGTTCCCGTACACGTTTTCCTCCTCTACTGCAGAGCATAGCCAACGAGAATCTCATGTCGCTCGTTCTAGACTGAATTCGTATTGTACTACACAACTTTCCTCCACGGGGTCTGTTGCTTCCTCACTACAAGGCAAAGGTTACCTTTCTGTGGCAATGCTGCCCAACAGTAGCTTCTTGCAGATGCCCTTTTATCTATTTTTGTGTGTGTTTATGGATGTGCTTTTTCATGGCAATTAAATTTCGTATTTGAACTGGGTGTTTTTTAAATTTTCGAACACCATGTGTCGTCTTTCTGGGTTTTTTTCCCCTTAATAAATTTATCCACAAAAAGTGAGACTTCAGAGGGACTTGGACTGACTGCAGAAGGCCAGGGGCCTGGTGAATTCTGTACATGGGACTAGGAGACAAGGGAGCCTCCAGGTGGAAGGGTCTGCCTTTATAAAAAAAATAATAACGGGAGCTACAACCACCCCCTCCCCAATGAAGAAGACACAAAAGTGGACATCTCCCTGGTAAATGGGGAATCTGGGGCTTAAGAGTGTCACAGAATTCATAGATGCTGGGCCTTACGGGAAGTGTCACAGGCACTGGGGCGGCTCCTGCATCTGTTGATAGAACAGCACCAAACCCTCCCTGGATGCCACCTGGTTTTCACCGACGGGGAGACACGAGAGTCATTGTAGACATGGTAACTAGCGTGGCATCGGCACAGGACTGTGTAGTGACCACAGTGGTTGCTGAGCGAACAGCTGGTACATGGGCTTCCTGCTTTGTCACTCGCAAAATCACCCAGGCTTGGGCGCTACAGTGGGAAATCGGCACCTACCAAACTTCTTGATGGAACCACAGGAGGCAGAAAATGGGATTCAGATGGAGCCATGAGGATTGGGGGTGGTGGTGGTGGGGGCATCTGTACTGTGAACTTTGAGGTCCGTGTTTGCTGCCAACATCGGTCACACACTGGGGTGTTCTCAGACTCGCTCTTCCTCGGTGAGAAGGCTGGAACAAGCCAGCAGAGACACCTGGCCCCCAGCAAGTCCTTTACTCGGGGATGGGCAGGGACAGGTCACAAAAAACCTCAAAGGTCATGGAGGCCTGGCATTTGAGGTCACTTAAAAAAATCATTTTATTGGAGGCCCTTAACTGTCATCACAACCCATCCATCCATCCATTGTGTCCAGCACATTTGTGCATGTTTCGTCATTTTCAAGACGTTTTCTTGCTACTTGAGCCCAAGGCAGCTTTTCAACTGGCCCACAAACGGTCCACAGTCTTGCTGTCCTTGAACCGCCAGGTACTGCCTCCAGGTGAGGTAGTCTCAGCCCTCCTCCCTTAGCTCAGGGTCTCCCAGGAGAGCGGAGAGCCCTTGCTCTGCGGGTTGGTGAGGGAGCTGGGTTGTTGGCCAAGACTGCAGAAGCCTAGCGGCCTCATTGGCTGCTGCAGCCACCCCATGAGGAGTTTCAGGGATTCCTGGGCCTGCTGCTGGCTGTATCCAGAGGAGGAGGGGCCATGTGTCTGGAAGACACCCAGAACTGAGTAGGACTTCCATGGAGTCAGGGTGCCGCAGGGCACCAATCACATCTGCAAAGGCTTCGGTGGCTCAGACTCAGCCCCCTCCAGGCACCTCACTGAACGTCTCCGCAGAAGTCCCGAAGGGGCCGAGTTCTGCTCAGACTGCATTTAGACAGCACGTAGTCCCCAGATTCCAGAGGAAGGACCAGTATGACCAGAGCCTGGGAGGAGGAGTGCGTGATGAGCTAACGGCTCAGAGGACCAGGCAGATACCATGTGGAAGAAGCCATGAGAGACAGGGGATTCTGTTCCCATGCTGAGAAGGGTGGGGGCCCAGGAAAGACCCCTAGGGGGCAGAGAGGTGCTGGGTCTCAAAGTGGATGCCTCAGCCTGGAACACCAAGCAGCTCAGTGC